ATCCCCTTCTCTTTGCTTCTGAAAGTTGCCTTTCCCAGGGCTTTGCTGCCTGTGTGAATGGCAGGTAAGGATGGGGAGCCATCACTTTCTGGGTATTTACTGAACATTCATCTAGTCCCTGACACCTTCATTAATGCAGAGGTAAGGTTGCCCAGCAGTATGTTGGGCCCTGCCAGAGTATCAAGTTCAGCAAAATTCAAACCTCCAAAAACTAGGAAATGGAGAGCTAATGTGCTTGCCAATGCAACCTTAACTCTGCCCCCTGGAGCTGGCAACAGCCACTGGGCATTATCTGCCAGCACTCCAGCTGCACTCTCTGTGTTAGGTGTAGCTTTACTGAAAGGTAGAGGCGTTAGTTGGAGCAACTTGGTGGAGGTGTGATTGTGATATGAGAAGATCTGGGTCTGAGTCCCCCATGTGTGCGATGAAAGGAGAGAGGTGCATGTGTACCTTGAGCTTCCAGTCTGTATCGTTTCTGTACTGAGCTGTGCATGTTGTCAGGAGGTAACAGGGGACTGTTTGCCATGGGAATGGTCAGCAGTGAGATGGGATCTGAGAGCAGTCTGTGTGCTTAACGATGGGTAAGTGAATGTAGAACGTTAGCTGGAACTTCTGTGAGTAAGGATGAAAGAGTTGTAAAAAGGGGTGAAGAGATGTTCAGTTGACAAGTGTGCGGCTGTTTCTGGGGAGCAGCCCAGTATCTGAGTTTAGAACAGGTGTCAGTAGCTCCTGTACAGCGCAGCTCACCTAAAACCAAATTCCATCTTAGCAAAGATAAAGTGCTTTATTGTGTGCCCTGGTTGACATTTTCCCCAGTACTTTAGTGACAGGCACTATGTCAAATAGCTGGGTGCACGTAGGTGTGTTGTAGGAGTAAAGAAAGGGTCATTGCTCATGTGGGTCAGAATTAGGATTACATTGGTGTGTACCTTATCTCTGCATTTCCTGATTATTACAAGTTTGAGTTTTGCTGATCTCTCTTCTGGAGGGCACCAGACAACTCCGGGCAACCTTAAATCCTGAATTATCATTTTTTGGAAGTGAATTTCCTAGTTTTGGCACAGAGCGATGTTGGCTGGAGGAGTTAGCAGCCCTATAGGCAGTTGTGGGTCTCTCATGAGTTTGCAATCAGAGGCACAGAGAAGTGCAATGACTTACCCAAGGTCACCCAGCAGTCCCGTGGCAGAACCAGGAATTGTCCCTGTCCAGTGCTCTCTCCACGTAGTTGCTGGGTGATTCTGAAGTGCTGCTCCCTTCTCCTGTACTTTTTGTTACGGTGGAATGGGAATAATGGTCATGCTTTCAAACGTCTCTCTCCTTCTCCTCCTCCTCCTTCTGCTACCATTTACAGCTCCGCCTCCCCTCTTTCAAGTGTTTGTCATGGGCAGTTGATAACAGAGCCAATGAGAGAAATCTCTGATACGGTCTGTGCCTCAAGATCTTGACAGTTTAATCATGTGTTGGTTACAGTAACTAAGTATATGAGAGAAGACTGGTGTTTGTCGCTCTCTCTCCTTCTTCACCTCCTCTTCCTGCCACCATTTCACGTTCAACCTCACCTTCTTGTCCATCCCATCCAGCCCTTTCTTAGCACTGTAGAAGCCAGTAGCTGTTTCCTGTCCTAGGCTGCTGCACACACGTATTATAGGCAGCAACTGCATGTGGTCTGGTGCATGCCACCTTGGTATTGTAGCCTGAGCTGCAGACTGAGCTGGGCCCCTCACTGCTACCTCCAGCTGGGCCTTCTGCTCCTAGTCCAGCCATGCCCTAGCTCTGCCCCTCCTCCAAACAGGCCCCATCCCCTATACACTTTGGCCTCCCTCTCCACTCCCCTCCGTGTACCTTTAAACTATTCATATTTTGGATTTGGGATGATTAAATTTGTTACCTTCAGCTCCCCCTCCCCCCAGTTTCAGTTGTTTGGTGGTGCCCCGATTGTTTTCCATTGATAATTTGGGAGGGAGCAAGGCTGGTCACTTGAGCCTTGGGTTACATTGCCAACTGACTAGTGAGAAGTGATGACTCCCTCTTAGGTGGATGGGCCAATCCCGGGGCCTCTTACTTCTCGGTGATTGATTTTCCATTCCAAGTCCATAAAATAGATTTTCAATATAAATGCTTTGTTTCATACATATGACCCATATGTTGATCTCTCAGTCATTGAGTCTTGACCAGTTAAGACTTTCTGTAGACACCTCACAGGATCATCTTCTAAGAGATGCATTTGGTGTGATGGGTTTGTCAGGTCTCAGGTGAGAGCTGCTGGCAAAGACCAAATGACCCTTTGCCAAGGGATCTCTGTGTCACTGTCTGACCCCCGTAGGCCAGGGAGAGAATGACTTTCTGCCATTGGCCTTCAGGACAGGTACTGAGTTCACTGCAGTGCCCCTCGCCCCCTCTCCATTTCCCTACTCGGTGTGCTGTCTAGGACGCTGCCCCACTTCCTGCTCCCCAGGCCACCTCGCATCTGTTCCATGTGCCAGGCTGCTGGCAGCCCCCAGTGAGAGGCCATCCAGCCCATCAAACTGGTGCCCAACTGCTGGGCCTCAGGCCTTCTGGAGTGCACCTCTGTGAGTCCAATTGCCCCCTGCCCCAGAGGTACTACAGAGGCATGTCCTTCTAGTGTGTCAGGGCTCCACCCTCTGGCTAAGGCCTCAGGGCACTTTCTTATTCTCTTGGGGTACCAGGTGAAACAGCAAAAGAGCCGACTGTCGGCAAACAAGGGTAAATAAAGGAATGAAAGAAAGAAACGGGGGGGGGGAGGAGGGCGGAATGTGGATCAGAGCGATGTTGGCTGGAGGAGTTAGCAGCCCTATAGGCAGTTGTGGGTCTCTCATGAGTTTGGATATCCCTCTCTTACTTCTGAGGGCCCTGGGAGCGTCTCAGTCCCCTTCAGAGTTTACTGGATCTCCAGTGCAAGTTTCAGCCTGCTCCCATTTTGAAACTTTGCCCCCCAGAATCCAAGTAGCATACAGGTAATCAATTCCTTCTGTATGGGTTTTTTTTTATCCCCTTCCTGCCATGTGCTCTGAGCTGCTGGGAACTCAGCTAATGGGAGGTCAAGAGCACAACATTAGTCTTTTGTCTTCTTTAACATCCCATAATGGTCTATCTGGTGTTGATGGACCTTTCCTGCCAGGCAGGGTGTAATGCATTCTGTTGCCAATCCGCACTTCCCCTAGGTAAAGTCTCTCTCCCATCTGGTGACTTACATAGCCACAGAGGCTCACAATGCAACTAGTCAGATATTAAACCAGGCAGCAACTCACAAGCATTCAATAAATCTAAACACTAAACACATTCTTATAATTCTAATGCCTGTTTTAACAATACTAACACAAGTGAGCCAGACTGATTCCAGCTATGCGTTTGTCCATGTTCAATTAAGACATGGGGGCTTTTGCAAGAGCTAACTCCTCATCTGTTGGTGTCACAGGCAGGATGGGCAGGGATGGTGTCTCTAACCTCTGTTTGCCAGAAGTGGGAATGGGTGACGGGTTGGATCACATGATGATTCCCTGTTCTGTTCATTTCCTCTGAAGCACCTGGCATTGGCCACTGAGCTAGATGGACCATTGGCCTGACACAGTGGGTCGTTCTTATGTTCACAGTCTCTATCAGGAGTATCTACTCATCTGGACTCACTGGGGAGCCACAGAAAGAAACCAGGTGTGCTGAGGAAAGAAGGCCCAGTCTCAGAGCCCCCGGGGTCACCCTTTCCAAAAGCTAAAACAAGAACCCAGCCCATGAAAGGGAGCACTCCCAGGAGAGAGTGTATAAAGGCTGGAGCATCAAACAACTTAGTAAACCTGAGACAGCTGCCTTGGGACAATGACAGGGAGAATCCCCCAAAGTGACTCCTTTGATTCTGCTCTTCTCTGGCCTTTGGTTCATAGAATCATAGAAATGGAGGAGACCTCGAGAGGTCATCTAGTCCAGTCCCCTGCACTCAAGGCAGGACTAAGTATTATCTAGACCATCCCTGACAGGTGTTTGTCCAGCCTGCTCTTAAAAATCCCCAATGATGGAGATTCCACAACCTCCCTGGGCAATTTATTCCAGTGCTTAACCACTCTGACAGGAAGTTTTTTCCTAATGTCCCACCTGAACTGTCCTTGCTCCAATTTTAGCCCTTGCTTCTTGTCCTATCCTCAGAGGTTAAGAACAATATTTTTTCTCCCTCCTCGTAACAACTTTTTATGTACTTGAAAGCTGTGATCATGTCCCCCCTCAGTCTTCTCTTCTCCAGACTAAACAAACACAATTTTTTCAATCTTCCCTCATAGGTCATGTTTTCTAGACCTTTCATCATTTTTGTTGCTCTTCTCTGGCCTTTCTCCAATTTGTCCACATCTTTCCTGAAATGTGGCACCCAGAACTGGACACAGTAGTCCAGTTGAGCCATAATCAGTGCAGAGTAAAGCAGAAGAATTACTTCTCTTGTCTTGCTTACAATACTCCTGCTAATACATCCCAGAATGATGTTTGCTTTTTTTGCAACAGTGTTACACTGTTGACTCAAATTTAGCTTGTGATCCACTAGGACCCCCAGACCTCTTTCCGCAGTACTCCTTCCTAGGCAGTCATTTCCCATTTTGTATGTGTGCAACTGATTGTTCCTTCCTAAGTGGAGTACTTTACATTTGTCCTTATTGAATTTCATCCTAGATACTTTGGACTATTTCTCCAGTTTGTCCAGATCATTTTGAATTTTAATTCTATCCTCCAAAGCACTTGCAACCCCCTCCCAGCTTAGTATCGTCCGCAAACTTTATAAGTGTAACAGAGACTCTCTGCTACTGGGAGGGTTTCACCATATCTCAGAGGGTTACACCCTGGTGGGAGGGGGCTAGGCCTGTACTGGAATAAGGTCACTTTGAGCTTCACAGTGCGGCAGAACGTAGAATGTATATTAGAAGGGAAAAATCCAGGGGGAATTGGCATATGGAATGGACAAAACCCCTGTCTGAATTCTCACATTGCCCTTCTCGCCCTGGCAGGCTACAGAAAAACGTCCACGTTTCGCTCCAGATCATCCCCTCCTCCCAGGGGCAAGGAAATAGCTGTAGTGGAGCTGGCTCAGGTAAGGGATTATCAGGGAACTGGTGGTGGGTTCTGCTTGGAGAGAGAGGAGCAGTAAATGCATAGGAGGGTGGGAGCTGCTAAAGGTGCTGGGAGGCAGGAACTATCTAGGGTGGAGAAAGGGAGGGGACAGGATCTGACAAACCTGCTGAGACTTGTGTACTCTAGGGTGTGAAGGGTTGTTGCCCCGGGGTGCAGTCTGGAGAGCTTCTGGGAACCGCTGTGCCCTCTAACTCTGAACCTGGACTGGCCCTTCTCACACTGCTTTGCTGGAGATTCAGCCAGCCTCTCCAGGCCCTGTTATCACCCAGCACAACAGCAGGTGGCGCCATACACCCAACTAAGCTACCTGAGTGCTTTACCTAAGCCATTCAAGGACAGATAGAAGACAACAGCCAATTTCCCAGCTCCCCAACCTTGTACACCTGCTGTAGTATAAATCCAAAATTATACCATCTTGTAGTGCACAGGGATCTGTATAATGGAAGCTCATTAATATAGTTTGCCTTTCCCTCAATATGGGGAAGATATGCACAACAAGCTTGTGCAAACCACGCTGAGATTTTCCCCAGACACTTCACTCAAAATACACTGGTTAAGATAAAGCATAAAACAAGTTTATTAACTACAGAAAGATAGATTTTAAGTCATTATATGTGATAGCAAACAGATCAAAGCAGATTACTTAGCAAATAACCAAAAATTCAAACTAAGCCTAGCATACTAGATGGATTGAATTTGAATTAGAAATTTCTCACCCTGACTGATGATACAAGCAGTCTACCAAATTTCCATACACAAACTAGAAATCTCCTTACCCTGGGACCAGCCCTTCCCCCACTTCAGTCTTTGTTCCTCAGGTGTTTCCAGGAGTTCTCTTGTGTGGGGAATGAGGCCAAGAGATGATGTCACACCCACCTTATGTAGCTTTTCCACATGGCGGGAACCCTTTGTTCCAAACTCCCAGTTCCCAGTCCAGTTTGTGGACTACTGGTACCAAAATGGAGTTCAGTGTCATGTGGTCCATAATGTCAGAAACAAACATGATCCATGCACACAAACAGGATAATCATATTCAGCAAATCCTAACTTTTCCAGTGACACCGCACATGACGCATCTTGCACAAAATGCATCATCATTATGTCCTAATCATATTATAATTATACCACTACGCTGAATATTGGGTGTAGTGTGAGATAGGGCATAATTTCAAGGCACAGGAGTTGGGAATGGAACTTCCCCTCTTTGTGGAACAGGAAATAACTCTCCAGCCAGGGCTGGGAAAACTTCCCAGACTCCCAGTGCTGGAGCCTGAATCTACTGACACTTTATTAGTTACCACCACCCCCAATCTTTGTGGCAACTGCAAACGTGATCAGTGATGATTTTATATTGTCTTCTAGGTCATTGATAAGAATGTGAAATAGCGCAGGGCCAAGAACCAATCCTTGCGGAAACCCGCTAGAAAGAAATCCACTCGACCATGGTTTCCCATTTACAATTCCAGTTTTTAATCTATTTAATGTATGCCATGTTTATTTTGTATCATTCTAGTTTTTTAGTCAGAATATTGTGCTGAACCAAGTCATATGCCTTACAGAAGTCTAGGTATATTACATCAATACTATTAGCTGCAACCATAGTTTTCATCTCATCCAATAAGGATATCCAGTTAGTTTGATAGGATTTATTGTGTCTAGGAGCTCTTCTTGACCTGCTGCTCACAAACAGGGAAGAATTAGTAGGGGAAGCAAAAGTGGATGGGAACCTGGGAGGCAGTGACCATGAGATGGTCGAGTTCAGGGATCCTGACACAAGGAAGAAAGGAGAGCAGCAGAATACGGACCCTGGACTGCAAAAAAGGAGACTTTGACTCTCTCAGGGAACTGATGGGCAGGATAACCTGGGAGAATAACATGAGGGGGAAAGGAGTCCAGGAGAGCTGGCTGTATTTTAAAGAATCCTTATTCAGGTTCCAGGAACAAACCATCCCGATGTGTAGAAAGAATAGTAATATGGCAGGCGACCAGCAGGGCCGGCTTTAGGAAGTGTGGGGCCCAATTCGAACGGTTTCGACGGGGCCCCGGCAGGGATGACTTAAAAAAAAAAACCACGTAAAAAAACCGCTCTCATTTCTTCCATGTATTATTTACTTTCCATTACTTTATATATTACATACATTGCATCATATATTATAAAATATCAAGTTCATTAAGAGGAACTTTATTGTACACCTCACCTATATGTTTTTTAAACTTTATCTTCCTTGCTTTTTGTTTGACAGAATCTTTCAGTATATTGCCTAACTCTAAGCTCTTCATTACATCACATTCAATTGACATGATTGCCAAATTGTTTAATTGGTCATCCTGCATTGTTGATCGCAGATATGTTTTAATTAGGGAGGGGACTGCCATCGCATGTGGCTTCCTTCCTCCCCTGCTGCCCCTCATCATAACCTCACTGGGGGTGGGGGATGGGGTTGCCCCTTGCCCAGTGTTTGCAGGAGTGGTGGCTGGGGGGGAATCACAGGGTCAAACACTCACTGACTGAAGCCCCAGCAGCTGCTCAGGTGAGTGAGGTCCACTGCAGATGATCCTCTCTCCCACCGGACTGGAAGCCCTCTCGGTGTCTCCTCCAGGTGGGTGCCGGGGTTGGGGAGGGAAGGGCTGCGAAGCACGTGTGTGCCTCCCTCCTCCCCCCTCCTGACGTGCAACAGCCGCTGCCTCTGCCTCAGCCCTCTGCCGGCTGGGCCAGCATCAGCGTCTCTCGTTGCCATAGCAGCAGCAGCTCTCTTCCGGGAGAGATGCACAGCTTTCCTTCCGGCAGCGTCCCAATTGGTGGGGCCCTCTTAGACGTGGGGCCCAATTTGGGGGAATCAGTGGAATCGGCCTAAAGCTGGTCCTGGCAACCAGCTTGGCTTAACAGTGAAATCATTGCTTGTCTTAAACACACACAAAAATGCTTACAAGAAGTGGAAGATTGGACAAATTACCAGGGAGGGGTATAAAAATATTGCTCAGGTATGTGAAATCAGGAAGGCTAAATCACACTTGTAGTTGCAGCTAGCAAGGGATGTTAAGAGTAACAAGAAGGGTTTCTTCAGGTATCTTAGCAACAAGAAGGTGGTCAAGGAAAGTGTGGGCCCCTTACTGAATGAGGGAGGCAACCTAGTGACAGAGGATGTGGAAAAAGCTAATGTACTCAATGTCTTTTTTTTTTTTTTTT